TGTTTTAGGTCGATCCAGTCTGAGAGTCACAGTCCGGGCTCCTCCACAAATCATGGAGTCAACCAGAATGAAACTCATGTGTACGACTCTCTTCAACATGGTCAGCATTGAAAAACAGTCTTTATTATCATTATCAATATTGACTTTTAATATTGACTTTTATTAAACCTCCATTAACACAAACATTTCTCAGGCTCAGTTTGTGTTCAGCAGTTTTTCAATAACATTTAAAGATCTTACAGTCCTGGTTTTGACTCACACAGTGTTTCTGTTTTTGCTCTGATCTTTAGTGTAACTGTAATAAAATGATTAATGTGAGCCTGGCTTGTTTTTTTCTTTAGGTACTGCTGACGTCTATGAATCAGTCACACAAGTGACAAACAGAAATGGTCAGTATATGTGCTGAAAAGCACAGAGCAGTTAGAGATGAAACTTGTTTTTGATTTAATGAAACTAATTCCATGTTTTTACAATCCTGTAAATAAAATTATGAACATTTCAGGAGCAGATGAATATGAAAACGTCCCCTCTTCTCTTATTAAGTTTAAAGATCTTAGAAGAAAGAGTGAGTACATAAAACGCGTGCAGTTTAAAAATAAAACAAACATCCTTTAAAAACGTGTTTTTTTGCATTTGTGGATGAATTTGATCATCTCACAGGGCAACACGACACACCAGAGGAGAGTGCTGTTTACTACAATGAAGATGGGATGCAGGTACAGTGACAACAGTCCCATGCAGTGTTTGGTTTGTTAGATCTCCACCTCACAGAAACGTACGGTTACGGTGTAACCTTGGTTCTCTTAGTGAGAGACTATCTCTCCACCATGAGGCCACTCGGAGACGCGTTCCGATCAATCGATCACCGGTGTCACGTCTGCACAGCTGTTTTATACATAAGCTGTGGGGCGTAGCCGGGCGTGCCGGAGTGTCTTAAAGAAATATCCACACGCCACGACCAAGGGGGGTCGTACCCCGTACATATGGAATATGTAACGGTGTGGAGAGATAGTCTCGATATGCTAGAGAACACATAATGTACAGAGACACTGGATACAACGTCTGAGCTTCCTGGATGCTTTTATCACCTGCTGGCTGACTAACAGCTACTTTGTAACCAGTTTTACACATAAAGCTTTTTCTCCAGCTGCCACACTCAGCTCTGTATCACCTGCTCTGAAAAGAAGAAAATACATTTCATTTCATTTTCACATGTTTTGCACAAAAAGAAATCTTTACAATACAGAACACAGAACAAATGATACCATGTGTATATCAGAGACCACATGTTTAAATCAATGAAAGTAAATCAGGATGATTTCCTCCTCCACACAGGTACAGAGGTTTGTCTGAGGGTTGCACCTCCTAAACAGTCAATAAGGTACAGTTAACGTTACACTCTTTGTAAAGACGTAAACACACAGAACTTCACTTCACTTCACATCGAGGGCAGACAATGTTTTTATAATAAACTTTATTGTTCTCCAACAGGAAGCCACAGATGGGACAGGCACGAGGTGCAGCCAGTGACCCCATTAAACTGATGTTTTACTGTCCTTATTTTCCTCGAGTTTTTGGTTCTGTTATTAGTTACCTAACATAAACTAATGTGAGTCTTTTGACTGAAACTAACCAACCAACCAAGTGATGTCATGCTCTGTACTGACAGAATATGGCGATACATGTGTTTTTATACCTTTAAGCAATAATTTCTTAAATCCAGCTTCACAGTCAGAGTTACATTTGTGTCAGTTTTTGAGAGCTGGGCTCCATGATGTAAATGAGCCTTTATACATGTAGTGTTTCATGTCCCCTTTAATGCTGAACACCTTATGTGACATTTTCACACAACAGTACTTCTGCTCAGAGTTGATTTTTCTTTTGCATGTTTGCCATCCTCCATCTTCCACTTTTACTGATTTGGTTCATGTAAACATTTCTGATGGTTTCATGTTCATCAAAAATATTTTAATCTGCAGTTTCAAGTCTTAGAGATTACACTCACTTTACATTCACAGACTCGAAGTTGTTGCTGTTCCTGGGAGACATTTCTCTTTTGTTCTGGTATCAAATTGCTTCGTGTTTGCTGAGTTTCAAGCTCTTTCTGTTCACCTGTCAAACTGTTGCTCATGTTTCCAGAGCAGCTTTTCTTCTGCTCAGATTAAAAATTTACAGTCATTTCTGTTTTGTCGATTTGCCAAATTGTTGCTCAGTTGTTGAGAATCACTTGTTTTCTGTTCTGTTGCCAAACTGTCTGTCAGTTTCCTATACACATTAATTTGCTCTTGTTCAGTTGCCAAGTTGCTGCTCAGTTGCTTTGAATCGAAGTTCATCTCATTTGACAAGTTGCATTGCAGTTTTGGAAAAAAAAAAAACTCCTCTGTTGAGTTTCCAAACTGTCTTTCAGAATAATTTATTCTCAGTTTTCTGCTCAGACTTTGTCTCAGACATCTGATTTTCTCTTCTTCTGTTCAGATTTAATCATCTTCTGCTCAGTTGTCTAAAGTCAAGACTGTGTCAGGGTTCCTGGGTGGTTCACCTGGTGTTTTCAGTTCATGTTCAGTTTATGTTCCACATTCATGTTTCCCGCTTCACCGTGCCAGCCCTCTGTCTCAGTGTCATTAGCTCTACGTCCTGTTTCATTATGTTCAACTGTGTTCTCACTGGTCCCCAATCATCATCATTAGCCAGTGTACTTAAGTCCTCAGTTTCATCCTGGTCTTTGTCGTGTCATTGATGTTAATGTTGTCTACTCTGCACGTGTGTTCAGTTAAGCCAGTCCTCTTATGTTCAGCTCATCTGCTCGTCATAATAAACACCAGCCTTCAGCTACCTGTGAGTCTAGCGTTTGGGTCGTCCTTTCCTCGCATCCACACACGACACCCCTGACAGAATGACACGACCCTGCGTTGTGGACCCAGCGGACTCTGACCTCTTCGAGCGGCAGGAGGCAGCGCTCTTTCACTGGACGGAGGTGCTTTTTTACCCTCTTGGAGCACTCAAAGCACTAATGGGCTTCATGTGCACATTAGTGCTCAACAAATTGTTTACAAATCCAAAGAGGAGAAAGTAGAAAGAACATGTGACAAAATGAACACAGCTACTTACAAACACAGTGACTGTCCTCAGACAGCGCACACAACTGTCAAGTAATTCAGTTCAATTCAGTTTAACTGTCTGTTGCTATAATTTGGTGCTATATAAATAAAAGTTGACAATTTTTATTATAAGGTGCAAAATCATAACTACAGTCGCCTTCAGGGGCTTTATATTGTAAGGACTGTACAACAATACAGAGAAACACTCCAAATCAGACGGCTATGAGCAAGCAGTTGGTGACAGTGAGAATAAAAAACTCCTTTTTAACAGGAAGAAACTTTTGACAGAACCAGGCTCAGAGAGGGGCGGTCATCTGCCACCTGCTGGGGTAACACTGTGGAAAAGAACCAGAAATTAATAATATCTGAGCAGCTTGACCTCACAGATCATTCGGTTGCTTTTGAAGACGATGGCTTACTGTAAGTGTGATTCTGGGTCAGGAGTCTGCTGTGGCACAGAGACCCTCTGAAGCAGGGTGGGCAATTCATTTTCCTGAGGGGCCACATGAGAAACTGGGCCTGTTGTGGGGGGCCGCATCAATAAACTGAACTCAATCCTGCTCAGTACTAGTTTGATATTTGTATAAACTGGTACTGGTAACAGTGGACGTTACAATTAGGCAACGAAAATGTGAAACAGACAGAGTTAGAAAAAAAAGCCCTTCACAGCTTTTTGTTATTACGCTGATTGTTTGTCTTGTTTTGTCTCTGCAATAATTCAGTTTAATAAAGTGTTTTGAAACGAACTGAGTCACTGGTGAATTTTGAGGAGTTTTTTCTGTGTCTGTGACTCTTTTACTGCTTTTTTACTTGGCAGCACTTTTTTATGCGGCTCTGCCATCATGTGTCAGAATACAGAGAGAACAGTCAAAGTCAACAACTTAAACACTTTTAGAGGTGCTGAGCACCAAAGCTTGTTTGTGACCTGTTTACACTCTGAAGCCGTCTCACTGAAGACTTTGCAAACGGAAAATATTGTTTATGTTTTGATAAATTAAAACTTTTTAAACCCTAAAATTTTTTTTTTACTATATTCAACTCTACAAAGATGTACTGTGATATTTTTATTCAACAAGTAAGATCATGCAGTGATAATACGAGATCAAACTACAAACATGGCACTACAGAATAACATCTTTGTTCCTCTAAGCAGCCACATTGCCTACATGTGTGTCAAAGGCTGTTGTTGGTATATAAATATAGTCGTGATCCTGGGTTTACACCCAGCGTTTTGTGTTTGGACTTTATAGTTTTGGGTTATTTAATATTCAGAGGTCGTGATTCTGCCCTTTATAGTTGTTATTCCTCTGTTTATGTTCTTAGGTTGTCTTAGTTTTCTTACCTAGTGTGTGTGTGTGTGTGTGTCCCGAAACATACTTGATCATGAGAGTGAGAAACAGCAACAATGCACCCCAGGAGCTTGATCCAGGAGACCAAACAACCACGTGTCCACCCCAGCAGAAAGGCCGGTAGGCTGGAAGTGAACGGCTGTGAAACTGGACAGTCTTCTAGCCTTCGTTCAAGTCCGCACTTAATTCTGCATTTTTCCGGTTGCTAGCACCGCAGCGCGAAAACTTTGAAAAGGACTCAGAAATGTTGCTCAGTTTTTTGTACATTTTTAATTCTCTAGGAGCTTGAAAAACTTTATCGTCGTCGCCGGCATGTTTTGTACCTTAGGCTCGTCAGAGACAATGATATCCAGGTAAAATAATTGTCTTTAATCTACATGCACTCAGGAATCACTCAGCATTTTTCATAATTCCAGTGACTGAATGATTGCCAGTCATTCATACACATTCACTTTATTATATAAAATATGTAAACTAAATCTCTTTGAAACTTATAGAAGAACATTTTCTATTTCCATTTATTTTCTGTTATTTATTTCATCCTGTAACTTGTTTGTGTGCATAGATGGGCTGTAAAAATGTGACAAAGCTGAAAACAGGATTAGTTTTGAGTTCACAAAAAAGCTTAGTGTCAGAGTTATATTGTTGGATTGTCATTTATGCTTGGAAACATATAATCATATATGCTTAGAGGTATATAATTGATTACATATTGATAGATTGTCTCATCCTTAGTAGTCTGCAAAGGCTCTGTGTGGGTTCCACACACACATCCCAAGGTCATGAGAGAGGTCGTACCTTCTATTTCTGAGTTATATTATACGAGGACACCTACTCTGTATCTGTTTAGTATAAGTATACACATACTTACTATACTTATATATATATATATACTTATATAAGTATTAGTGCCTTTTGCTTAGGTGGTCAGCTGGGCTCCTAGCACCAGCT